CTGATGATTGAATCCCAGGGGCATAAAGCTGTGTTGGAAATTCTAAAACATTTCCTAGAGGTTATACCCCCCCCCCCCAGTGGCACAGCGGTATGTCTGCGGACTTACAACGCTAGAATTCGGGTTTCGATGCCAGTGGTGGGCAGAGCACAGATAGCCCATTGTGTAGCTTTGTGCTTAATTACAAACAAATAAACCACGAGGTTGTCCCTCCCCAGTGGCACAGTGGTATGTCTGCGGACTTACAACACTAGAATCCGGGTTTCGATACCCGTGGTGGGCAGAGCCCAGATAGCCCATTGTGTAGCTTTGTGCTTAATTACAAACAAACATATAATATATATATACTGGTAATGATGGTAATACTACACAGTATTCAATCACCACCAACAGATTCGTCACATATCCCATATTTAAAAATGTACACAAGTAACAGCGGTAGAATTTCGTGTATCATCAACTGGTTTACTCAATAAGTCTTTTGGTAGTTAATTAATAAAAGTAATACACCAATTAAACCACAATTATTTATTATTGTACAAAATATTTGGTTACATTTTGGCCACATTTGTTCTGGCCATCATCAGGCAGAATGAAAATAGAATAGACGATACAAAAGTATAATTCCGTATGTATAAAACGCGTTCCAATAACACGTGGTAAATGTCAAATTTAAATTAATGTTCTACTTAAATGATTGTTTGTTTGTTTGAAATTAAGCACAAAGCTACACAATGGGCTATCTGTGCTCTGCCCGCCACGGGTATCGAAACCCGGATTCTAGTGTTGTAAGTCCGCAGACATACCACTGTGCCACTGGGGCGCTCTACTTAAATGAAGCAACATCAATAAATACGCGTGCATGTACACTATATATACATATATATAAGACAAATATTTAACATAAATATAAAGTAACGTATAAAATATATTGTTAACATTGTTTATACAATGTCTCCGTGTGTGTTTATCTTATAGCAAAGCTACATCGGACTATCCGCTGGGTCCACCGAGGAGAATCGAACCTATATTTTTAGCGTTGTAAATCCGACGACTTATCGCTGCCCCACCGGGGGACTTATACAATGCCAATCCAAGTACAAAGGGAGGACTGAAATCCCTGCGGCAAAGGATAACGAACCATAAATCCCGAGGTTCACAATCCGAGCATTCTTACAACTAGATTAGCAGGGAGGAAACTTACAAAGTATAACTTCGAAAAGAGGGGAGCGCTAGAATAGCACAACCACGATACCAGTCAACAACACCACGATACCAGTCAACAAAACCACGATACCCGTCAACAACACCACGATACCCGTCAACAAAACCACGATACCCGTCAACAAAACCACGATACCAGTCAACAACACCACGATACCAGTCAACAACACCACGATACCCGTCAACAACACCACGATACCAGTCAACAACACCACGATACCAGTCAACAACACCACGATACCGTCAACAACACCACGATACCCGTCAACAAAACCACGATACCCGTCAACAACACCACGACACCAGTCAACAACACCACGATACCAGTCAACAACACCATGATACCAGTCAACAAACTCAAATTCTTTATTATTATTGTTTTTTGACAACTCATGCTTGAATTATTGTTTTCTTCGTTAGCGTGTGTGTGTGTGTTTTTTTTAGAACTTCAATATTATACTGAATTGGTGGCCCGGCATGGCCAGGTGGTTAGGGCACTTGACTCTCAATCTGAGGGTCGCGGGTTCGAATCCCCGTCACACCAAACATGCTCGCCCGTTCGGCCTTGGGGGCGTTATAATGTTTCGGTCAATCCCACTATTCGTTGGTAAAAGAGTTGCCCAAGAGTTGGCGGTGGGTGGTGATGACCAGCTGCCTTCCCTCTAATCTTACACTGCGCAGATAGCCCTCGTGTAGCTTTGCGCGAAATTCAAAAACAAACAAGCAAACAATACTGAATTGGCAAACAAACACAGTTCTAAATGATTGGGTATTGTACATTCTTACTACTTTTATGGGTATTGTTTCATTCTATTAAAGAAAGAATTGGGTTCTTGTAGGGTTGCCTATGCCTTGACCTGCCGCCCTTGTGAACTGGACAAATGCTCACCACTTGACCCATCCGATTGTTCAGCAGGAACGACAACCGACGAATGTAGGTGCTGTACAGTCTGCGGAAAGGTAGAGTGACTATATGTGTTGTGTGAGTTTATAATCTGCATCTGTTTTGTAAGGTGTGTTTTCACCCTTGTGTGTGCGCGTGTGTGATTGTCAGCAACATTTCTCGGAAACGGCTCTGAATGGATTTGCGCGAAAGTTGGCAAATATTTGGACTATGACACAACTTAGAAATGTTTTTTTTTAGAAGGTCAAGGTCATTAGCATCAAGAAAATCCCTATCTATTAACGTGGGAACCGATTTTTCACACTACTTTTGCTCTATAACTCAGTCAAAAATGATCGGATTTGGATTAAACTTGGTGGACATGTGTAGAATATTATTCCTCATTGTCCTGCTAAAATGTTTCATGAACATTAATAACGGAGGATATATGGACAGATTTAAGTATTTCTTGAGGGCCGAATATGATCAACGCTCTACTGAGTGACCCTTTAGTTATTTCTGTGTTTTGTTTAATTTATCCAAAAACGCATTGTAAGCCTACTAAACAAATCAATTTTTATTATTTCGAATGCAATGTCCTGCTTAAACTTGGAGCTTCAATGTAGGCAATGCTCTAGTTCTTTCTTTTCGCTCCAGGATCTGAGCGTTGCTTCCAAAGTTTCGGTGAAATTTGTCAGTAATGATAAGACAACAAACAGAAAAAATTAGCTCCTACTCCTTAATGTGGTTCATGGAGCTCAGCACATTCTGTTTGACCACTAGCTTAGTTTAACGGTTCATATGCCTAAGCTTGTGAAGCCTGATGTCTTATATTGATATTAGTGCCATTATATCAGTTATGGGTCTTCTGGGAAAAGGTACAGAGGTATTAAAACTATTGTTGACCTCCTACATGTGATGTAATATTACAAATTATCCAACTAGCCAACTTGTCTTTTCTGGTACTATCAAATGGCTAACCAGCGGTTAGCATGCTGGATTATGGATTCGTGGTTCTGTTTTTCGCGCCCCTTTATAGCCTATCTGATTAGAGTAGCCCACGAGTTTGCCCAGCATGGCCAGGTGGTTAGGATGCTCGATTTGCAATCTGCGAGCCGTAGGTTCGAATCCCTGTCACACCAAACGTGCTCGGCCTTTCAGCCGTGGGGGCATTATAATGTGACGGTCAATCCCACTACTCGTTGGTAAAAGAGTAGCCCAAGATTTGGCGGTAGGTGGTGATGACCAGCTGTCTTCCCTCTAGTCTTTCACTGCTAAATGAGGGATGTCTAGCAGTGATAGCCCTCGTGTAGCTTTGAGCGAAATCCATAACAAACAAACAAACCCACGAGTTGGCGGTGGGTGTCGTTGACTAGCTGCCTTCCCTCTATTTTATCACTTCAATAGTAGGGACAGTTGCCCTCGAGTAGCTTTGTGCAAAATTCAACAAGAACTTATTAAAACACTTCGATGTTTCCAAAAAAATCGAATCGACACAATATTTACATTCATCTGTTTATTTTCTTCTCATTTGACAAATCCGCATTAATAGAATTTGTTTTAGTTAACAGTAATCTAATCAAAAACACCTTAGGTGTAAAGAAAAAAAAAGGTGCAGCCAAAAAAGGATTGAGCAGGCGACTTAAAGGAATGAAATCAAAATTGGTTGCCAAACTGGAAGCTTCCCTTATAGTATTGCTAAGAATTGTACAGCAAATATTCATTCATTAGTTAGCCAGGACCCATTTTTTGTTTACATTTTGGTCATGATGGTGGATAAAGCAAAATATGTAGCCTAGCTAACCAAGGAATGAATATTTGCTGTAAAATTATTATCAATGCTATAAGTGTAGCTACTAGGTGGACCGCTACTTTTGATACAGGCCCGGCATGGCCAGGTGGTTAGGGTACTCGACTCGCAGTCTGCGGGTCGCGGGTTCGAATCCCCGTCACACCAAACATGCTCGCCCTTTCAGCCGTGGGGGCGTTATAATGTTTCGGTCAATCCCACTATTCGTTGGTAAAAGAGTAGCCCAAGAGTTGGCGGTGGGTGGTGATGACCAGCTGCCTTCCCTCTAGTCTTACACTGCTAAATTAGGACGGCTAGCGCAGATAGCCCTCGTGTAGCTTTGCGCGAAATTCAAAAACAAACAAACTTTTGATACCATTCCTTTACGTTGCAGCTCGATACTTTTTTTTTACCACACCTTTTTTTTAGTGATGGAATAGTGGCTCATAAAATTGCTCTGAGTTGTTTTTTTTAAGTATAAACTTTTAGCTCATAGCTCCATCATATCTTGAGTGATTTGAGATCTAATTACAGTTTTGGGCTCAGTAGGTAAAAACCCTTTCAATTGATATATTTGATCACGCCAAGTCTCATAGATCAATTTACTCTAATCTGCCCAATGTAATTTCAATTTGAGGGTGGGCTGGTAGAGATCCTGATGAGTTATAAAATTGAATTGAGTATATGCACGCCCCACACTTGGTATTGCTTGAGCAAAAAAAAAAATAGCTAATAAAAAGGAGAGAAAGTCTCATAGATTAATTTACTCTAGTTCTGCCTAAAAGAATTACAAGTGCCGTAGCTATTGAGCATTCCCCTCTTGTTTCATACCTAAGGTGTTTTTGATTAGATATTACGAAGCAAGTAAGAAAGTAACACCCCTATAGTAACCAACATTAGCTTCAAGATCGCAACCTTGTTACTTGGAACAGAGCTATACAATACAGAACCAACCAGTATATGGTGGTAGTTTTTTCCTCTCAAAACAGTGTTATTCACTTCCTTTTCCCCTACCAACACGAGTCTTTCTACAGTCACGGGTCAAAGGCCATGTCATGGTATTTGTAAACTCACATTCAAAATTTTTATTGAATTACTGTTTTATGAATGTATGTCTATAAGTTTAGCATCAAACTGTAGATTATAATTCACAAAATTTAGTATTATATATTAGTTGATTTCTTAATTTATGTCTATAAGTTTAGCATCAAACTGTAGATTATAATTCACAAAATTTAGTATTATATATTAGTTGATTTCTTAATTTAAAATTAAATATTTTGAAAAATCCTAAATATCGATTTTTTTTGTGTCACCTGGTATGTTGAAGGCAACATTGGTTCAAATTAGATGTTTGTGATGTTCAAATACAAAGTTTATAGTTTCTTACGAATTAGATACTCAAATTACCGATGTTAATGAGCTAGAATATACGATAAGAACCTCCTATCTTTTCTATTTTCTGAGATATTAATATATTTATTGAATCAACCAAGATAGCCCCCGCCCACCTCTGGTATTTTAGAAAATTCTTGGTTTTCTGTACTTCCTGTTCTATATTTTCCGAAAAATAGCTGATTTGTAAATAGTAATAATGTATATATCAAAAAGGACTGACTAAAAGTAAAAACATGAGTCAAAAACTTTATTATGTATACAAAATAAATACTTATACTTGGAGGTTATCAGGATTCATTTACCAATTAGTAAGATTACATACAGTGTTGACGTTAATTTAGTCTACAATTTTGGGGCTTATATAGGCAGTAAAATAACGAACTCTCAAACTATTTGATGCATGAATATTTTAGAAGAAATGCATTTTAAAATGTCAACTGGGGAGAGGGTAAGGGGTTCTAGGGTTAATATTGTCTTCGTTCTTCTAGTGGATCTTTTCTTTTTGTTGCAGGGAGAAGGAGAGTTGTGTGAAGGACCCTGGCACGTTTGGAGGGGTAAATGTGCAGAAGGTCTAATCTGTGTCGAAGAGGAGCTCCGCTCAGATACGTTTACACCTTTACCACGAGGTCTGAAGGTTTGTCGCAAGCTTTAAGAACGTGAACAAAGTTATGAACATCGGAAATGTCTACACCAGTGTAGTGGGTAGTATAGTTTCAACTAACGCGTAGATTACTAACTCATTGGTAGTATAATGGAATATATTACGATTATATTAATAAAACAATTTTGTTACACTAAAAATACTGTAACTATACTGCTCCTGTAATGCTTCGATAATTGATTTCCTTTTTTTGTCTATTATCAATATAATGCATACATTTGTTGTCTGGTGGTTTTTTTTCTAGTTATTCTAATTTTATTCCTGCAACGTTACCAGCAGTTTTTTGAACTCTTAAGTGATGTTTAGGCTGCCTGAGTACACACAAACTGAAATATAGTGACACGTGGTGTCTGAAACAACTTGTTGCTGCCACTGAGTACACACAAACTGAAATATAGTGACACGTGGTGTCTGAAACAACGTGTTGCTGCCACTGCTGATGTCAAATAAATAAAAGTTCAAACACATGGCAACATGTAGAAAAGAACACTTTTTTTCTTTTACATAAAAGAGAAAAGGTTAGTAAGTATACTTGAACCAGAAATAAACTCGTACATTTGAGCAAATAATCGAGGAAATTCAACTTGTAAGTTTAGTGAAACATTGGAAAGTCGGCTAATTAGTTAACTCGAAACAATGGAAATTAATTAGCTCTATAGTTAAATCAAGAAAATTACGATCTAGAAGTAGCCGTTCAATTCTGATTCTGTTCATTAACATTACCAATAAAACCGAAAGAAAATCCTTTGACTATGTGGTATTCAAGTACAATGATGTCCTACAAATAAGTCTGAAATATCCCCCAAAACCGAGATTCACAAATTCGGTAAAATAATATCTTTACCCATCATAAATAATCGTGTTCTTCATCAAACGTCCTAGCTTTTCACTTACCATGTAATTTTTACTGACTACTGGGGTGAAGAAAACAAAATATATCAAAAACAAGAGGCAGACTTGTGTGAATTTCGTATTTTTATAACCAGGCAAAAGCCTTAATGCGGTATTCAATAAGTCATTAGGTTACATACTTAAATTCCTGCTTACATTAACAATCCAAATAATCCAAAGCCAATTTGTACAGGTTTCTGTACCACCTGTTTTCATGGGCTACCTTCGCAGCAGGTCCATCTAGCTTGAAGCTTAATCTTTACCTGTGTGATTGATTAAATTGTGTTTATGAACTTTTAATATCTTGTCTATAGTACTGTGATGCTAAAACCGCATGTACATTTAGATAAATCTCATAATATACCTGAATAAAGATATATTCTGTACTAGTTATGAAAGGGTGAAATTAGTAGCTATTTCATCTATGAGAATTATCTGAAGGATACTGGAAATCATTAGTGTTGAGAATTCAAATGAAGACAGTTGTAAACAAAGAATCAAAATGTATTTTGTGGAAATAATCTAAATAAAAGTGCTAAAATAACAAATGAAACAAACGGTCGACAGAACTTCAACAACACACCTTAGATTTTCTAAGTCAAAATGAATTTTTGAAAGTTGCAATACCACTTCACAATCTCTTTGAACGTGATCAATCCAATTTGGTGTTTGTTACCTTATACTAAAGTCATAAAATAGACTCCTCTGTACAAGATAATATTGGCTACAAAATAAATATTCATTAAAAGTATATTACCAGTGACTGGATCCTGCCACAGAGCGTAACATTTAAGACGAATTTCATATTTTTATTTACACTGGAACTCTAGCAAAATTTAATAATATTGATACTTACATTAAAGAAGTAAGCTTTAAGATAATGGGATATGTGATATGTTTGTTATATACTAAGCTGACACATCTTCTACAGTGAAAATAATTCCATTTGAAGAATGGATATAGCTCAAGAATAAATCTTTACTCATTAGTAACTTCAATATAACCCAAGAAGTAAACTACCTATTGAGGTATGAATAAAACTCTACCCAATAGAGCCATGAATGTAACTTAAGAATAAAATATTTATTACATGCATAAAACACAAGTTCTCATAACCGAACGTGCTTGCCCTTTCAGTCATGGAGCATTATAAAGTGATGGTCAATCCCACTATTTTGGCAGAGGAGTAGTCCAAGAGTTTGTGCTGGGTAGTGTTAACTGGTTCCCTTTTCTATAGTTCATCACTTCTAAATTAGGGCCAGCTAGCGCAGATAGTGCTTTGTACAAAATTCGACAAACAAAACGTAAGCATAAACAATCAAATATTTAACATTAAGGACATATTTAATGAAGCAGTGTCATATGCTTCATTGAGTAATCATTGTGAATTCAAAATTAGAACTCGAACACTATGGTCACGACCATGATGACGGGTGTTAAGAAAACTATAAAGATTGATATAAATTGACTAACAACAATTTTATTCACATTAAAAATCACATTTTTTACTTCTTTATACACAACATTGAACGTGAAAATATCATCAATTTACCTTGGAGCTGTGAATCAACAACTTTTATCTTCATTTTTTTTTCTTTAGACGTACTTCTGGAAAAGGCCACATAAAGTTGACCGTGACCAAAGAGAGGTTCTGGAAAAAATAGACCGAATGGTCGTTCTTGACTCTTGTTGATAGTAATTGTAAATGCTAGAATGATAGGAAATTTTCGTCTTTTCAACCTGAATGGCAGTTGGTTTTCACTGGTAGCAAGATCAGTTCTGGGAGTGAAGACACTGTCTCCTTCATTTGTGCCTGTTAATATGTCTGCATCAATAATGTTTTCATTTAAAGATCTTATTACTAAGCGAGTACCATTGCACAATCCTTTCTTGGGGTTCACGTTCCTTAGGAGCATGATGATACATCCAACTTTTAAAACCAGTTTATGAAGAGGTATTCCTGATGGAAAATGGTAATTTAAAAACTCTACTAGTTCACTGCTAGAAATGCCATCTCCAATGTTAAAAACCAACTGCTGTATTCTTGCTGTACTTCATGGAAGCAATTCCACAATGGACTACTTATAATGCAAGCTTCTATGGTGTGAGTTTTGGAACCTTTTGGGTACAACAGGAACTGTTTGCCTGAAGTTTCCACCCAGAACTAAAACTTTTCCACCAAACTCAACACTGATTTGCATTATTTCTTTCAAAAGAACCTTTATTGCAACGAAGAATATATATTTTGTCATCATAGGTTCTTCATCTATTATGAAGAGTTTGGCAGATTTAATTTGACCAGCATTTTGCCATCTTAACAACATCGAAGAGACAGAAGTGTCGAATACTGGAACTGATAATTTAAATCCACTGTGAAGAGTCCTTTCAATATTAAAGTATTGTATGGAAATATTTTACCTGAGCCACCTGATGCATATAAATAGAAGCATCTTGGTGTATGTGATGCATCATCAACAGCAAGCATAATTTGATCAAAGGCTTCTCTCTGTAATTCATTTAAACTTCGAATTCTTGCCTCAGCTTAAGTTTTCTCTTAGGTGGGATGAAAAAAGTCTGGGATCTGGCAATTTCAACACTCGGAAACTCAAACCATGTGCTGACAAACAACTTTCAGTATCAAACAAAGCTTTTGTGGTTGTAAGTTGCTTTGTAAATAATCTTCAATCATGTCTGCCTTGAAGTGTTCCCAAAGAATTTCTGGCTGTTCGGGATTACTAAAATAAACAGATAAGTGCAAACGTTTGTCTAAGTTGTGCAGACATTTGGTGGTGTTTGGTGCTTTCTCGTGCAACTAAGTTGTGCAGACATTTGAACTGCTGCTGCTTCCTCGTGCAAACGTTTGTGTAAGTTGAGCAGACATTTGGTGGTGTTTGGCGAGCCAAACACCACCAAATGTCTGCACAACTTAGTTGCACGAGGAAGCGCCAAACACCACCAAATGTCTGCACAACTTAGACAAACGTTTGCATGAGAAAACCACCAAATGTCTGCACAACTTAGACAAACGTTTGCACGAGAAAGCATTTGCTGCTTTCTCCAAACAACGGACCAACTCGCTATCGTCTTAAAGTAAATTTATTCTGATGGCAGCTTCTTTGAATTTTGAGTAGATCTTCAAGAGATCTGGCTCCTCGAATGTGCAGTAACAGAGAGTGCAAGTACAATCTTTCACCGGATTTTGGATCAACTGAGTACATTCATAGAATAATTGTTGAAGTTTGTTCGAAACTGATAACAAACACAATGATGTGAAATATCCCAGTAAAGAAAATCAATCAATGATTCAGGAAGTGAACTAACATCTTGGTAAAGTTGAAGTTGTCTCACATGTGATCTGCAAGCAGTATTTCTTTGCACATCCGTGTTTTTTTTTTTTTTTGTTGATCATGCTCGTTCAAGCTCAATCGTTGTCTTCTCTTCTGTCTCTGATAACATCGTCACATCTCTGTTCCTTGAGGACTTTCATCTGGTCTTATATTAGCATATTGAATCCGAACTAAATCTCTTCTAAATGCATTTGCTGTTCGTTGGTTTGTTTGGTTTGTAGTTAAGCATAAAGCTACACAATGGGTTATCTGTGCTCTGCCCACCACGGGTATCGAAACCCGGTTTCTAGCGTTGTAAGTCCGCAGACATACCGCTGTGCCACTGGGGGGCATTTGCTGTTGATTCAATGCAGCTCGACGTTTTTGTTGTCTTTCTCGAGCTAAACGCCATCTTCTTTCTTGTCGTGTTTCTTCCATTTGAATATTTATTAATTAAATTTTATTCACAACCTAAAACTCTGTAAACACAGCTTTTTCGACTTTAATAAGGGTAGATGGTTTAATATTAGGTATGCGTAGAAAAGAAGAACTGGCGAATTGATTTATTTTCTACACTCAATGGTATTTTTCATTAACATAATCAGTTGTTTTGAAATATGTGTTTAAAATTTGATTCAACTTATTTGGAGGATCTGTTTCAAACATGCATATAATTGGATGGTTTTACAATAGTAAAGAGTTATTTTGTAACTTGAAAACTGATTTCAACAAAGCAAATGTTTGTTTTGAATTTCGCGCAAAGTTACACGAGGTCTATCTGCGCTAGCCGTCCCTAATTTAGCAGTGAAAGGCAGCTAGTCATCACCACCTACCGCTGCTAACTCTTTTACCAACTAACAGTTGGATTGACCGTCACGTTATAACGCCTCCACGGCTGAAAGGGCGAGCATGGTTAGCGAAATGGGGGATTCGAACCCGAGACGCTCAGACTGGGAGTCAAGCACCCTAACCACATGGCGATGCTGGGCTACAAAGAATGTTTGTTGAA